AAATTTTAGACCACAGTCCGCATCTACAGTTTATTCCAACATTAATATATATTTGTATACACAAGTGTGTATGCACAGTAATAGATTATTCGAATGAACTTTAGTATGGACCATTACCAAGACAGTGCTGTCATTTCCTAGCCTGGCCATGTGAGACACTTTTTGGACTGTTTGCCCGTGTACCACAGAGATGCTATGGCTTCCTCCCATGCCGTGCAGCTGATGCTTGAGTCAGGTTTCATCCCTGACTGCCTCCAGAGGAATGATGTGGGTCTCTGCCTTCCTTGTGCAGATGTCAGGGAAGTCATGACTCCAAAATGGAGGTGTCAAGATCGCAATGAGCAAAACTAGGGAAAGGGGGGGTTTATAAGTGGAGATAGAGCTTGGTTTCATCCCTTCGTTATTTATTTCCCTAGCAGATCACTGAGACTAACAAGGTGAATTTGTATTCTGTTAAAGGGTTTGTTTCAAAGAAAATATTCTCTAGTCTAGGATGTTCTTCACAGACTCTCGATTTTCAACCTTCTTACTTATTCTCTTTCAAGGATGCTGCTATTTCACATCAATAACTGACACCTTTATTTCAGCGAACAAAATAGAATTACACTCCAGCACTGACAATATAATAAATCAGGAGGGATAAAATACATATTAGTGAAGTTCACATAGTTGGTTTGTCCCAGCTGACCTACAGATATAAAGGTATGATTAAAGTTTTCTTGGACTGCTTCTTCTCAATCTTGCCACAAGATTTAGCGCCAACTCAAAGATTTGACCTTTGCTGCTCCTCTCTGCTTACCTTGATTCTTTGGAATTATTGTTATTCCCTTGAAGCCTTTCTGCCCGTACAGAATTAACACAGTGTTGTGACAAAATATTATCTATTTGCCAGAAGAATGAAGCCATCTAGAATTCTATCAGGTTAGACAATGTCATGGTGCACGTCCTGAATGAATCATTTCTACCTAGCTTTTTTTAATCAAAGAAATCTCAGCCATATAACCAGGAAGTGTCATGCTGCATAGTCATATAGCTGTCTGCAATTAAAGTTTAGGCCTATCAGTTGTTTTTTATGAATTATGGTTGAAAAGCATGCCTGCCAGAGCACTTAATCTTTCAGAAGGGTAACACAAATAAAATCTCAAAGCCACAGGTTTATTTAGAGTATGAAAATATTTATTAACCTTCTTAGAAGTGTTTTTTACTGAAAAAGTTCTTTCTGGTTCACCATATTGGTAAAAACAAGCATAAATAAAAGCAGCATGAATAATGTGCACTCCTGAGAAAAACAATATGTGGTATTTATGTTTTCCCTACTGGGGATAAGATTACCAGATGAAGTAAATGCACATAGTGTTACTGAATTCTGTGGGGCTATCCAGATGTGTTGTAGTTGAGTGTATGACCCAAACCAGCTGTTTGGGAAGAAGCAGTTATCAAAAAGATGTGTGTTATTCATGAAGTAATAATAGGGTGTTTGGTGCTTTTAATGTTGTTTCCATTCTTTTCAATGCTATGTATAATTTCTTTTTAAATGTCGTTGTTAAGGTACCTATGCGTCTACTGGTTTCATCATTACTAAACCCGTGTCTTCTCCTTGAAACTACATCTGGATAAGTTCCACACCATTTCCCCTTAGCCCTTCCATTTATATTATATACTAGAAGAATTAAAGCTAATGTAGTACTGTCAAATCGAGATGCATTTGACAATGCACTTTTCCTCTGATGAGGGATGGGTAATGTAATCAGCAATTTTTTTCTTTTTTTGTGTGACCTTTACAAATCAAATGGTTATTTCCTTGCTTTTCATTTGTATTTTGCTCCCAGTGGTGCAAAACTGCTGCAGTTAGTATAAAACATAATTTATAGATAAATCACATTATAATAGGGTGCAATATCTCAAAAAACTTACATACGGCATGGACTCTTTAATGAACTAATTCAAAGAAATGTATAAGCTGGCCAAGACTAAACTTAGGCTGTTAATTCACAGAGGAATTTCCACGATCACCACAGAGATGTCCAGGAGCAGCTTCCAAGTAGTGAAAGTGGAGGCAGCAATAAACCTTGCCTAGGATAAATCCTGTGTTAGTGATAGAATTACGGTAGAGAGATACCATAGTGCTAGGGATCCAGAGCAGTGACTGCAGAGGGTCCTTCTACCAAATGCACCTAATCTACGCCCCTTGGTTGAATAAACAGCATAGAGTTTAATGCCTTCCCAACATAGGCAGTTGTGAACAATATTTCATTCTGACATGACTGTATGGTTCTTCTGAGGTCTAGGGAGCATTTGTTCATGAAAGTCATCCAGTGAGTAACAGTGGGTGAATCTGATGAGTGAATGATGATCTACATCCATGAGACTTCTTTCCATTGCGTTAATAGATTCCTTATGCCTGCAGACCTCTTCTAAGCAATTTAGCCTTTTCTTATAAATGACATAGAAGAATCCCACCCACCCTTTTTTTTAAATGTAGGTAACAAAAAAAACCTCACACCCAACAGCAACAAAACCTCATGATTCATTTGTTTTAAGTTAAAGAAACCTTTTAGAAATAGGATGTTCTCTCACTTATTCAGTGAGTCAACTGATAATGCCTCAAGAAAAAAATGTAGAAATATCCTACTGAAAAGCTAAACATAAGTGTTAAAAGTAACTGGCTGTCAGGGAATATAAGTTATTAACTCACAGGTATAGATATTAGAAGATATAAATCCAGAACAGAAACATGGAGGATCAGACTACCTATCTCTGTTCCCATGTTGATCAAATTTCTCATGTTTTTCCTGTACTTCTCAGATTTCCATTTGGTCACAGGAAGTTTGTTGTAAGTGAAGGAGCCCAGGATGAAGAACAGTAATTATAAATATTATAAGAGGGGGAAAAAAAAAGTTAAGATATTCTGTATTCTCAAAACATCACAAGAGTTGTGTTCTGAAGCCTTTTATTCTAATTTTTCAGTTTCTTGGAAAGGCAGAAAGTTTCAGTAAAATGTTGTTTTACAGGGAATGTTTCTGAAAGTTAAGAGTAGAGAAAAATATACGTATGAAAAAATGTATATATTTTTATATATACACCCATGCACTTTTTAATATTGACACGTATATAGAAGTTCATATAGCATATTTGCCCAGAGAAGTTGCAGAACCAACTTCTGTGGTTATCCAGAGAAGTTGTGGATTCCCCGTCTCTAGAAGTATTCAAGGTCAGATGAATTGGCTTTGGGCAATCTGATCTAGTGAAAGATGTTCCTGCCCATGGTAGGGGGTTGGACCAGATGATCTTCAAATGTTCCTTCCAACCCAAACCATTCTATGATTCTGCTTTGGGAAGTGAATAGGAAAAGGACATTCTCTCAAAAGAAAATAGATCAGCTTTTGGCATAGTGAACTATGCCCATGCTAGACCAAATGAGGGAGACGTGAAACATGGAAAGTAGCAGTCCATGTCACTGCAGCATGTATCTCCAAGAAACCACCATGGATTTTGGCACAAAAGCTGTTGCTCTTGTTATTTCTGGGGGCTATGATACTGGTTCTTCCCTGCAAGCCTGTCATGGCTTCTGATGCTGATAGTGGGAATAATTGTCTGACAAACTAGAACATTGATTTTCTGCATTTGGATAATACTTTGGTTTGATAATTAGCAATAGGATCCCCCTAGCTCAAGAAAATGAATTTCTGAGCACTATGTGGGCAACTTCATCCTGTACTTGCATTTCCACCTCAGATACAGCACTTGGTTCATTTGGTGGGTTTTGAAGTCAAAGACAGTATGCACATTTGAGCTAGTAAGATTGACTTTGGATTTGGATATGAATTAGGATTGACTGTTTTTTTACTCATTGGCTCTTCTTATCTCTCAGGTTCTTTACTAATATGAACCATACAAATGAAGAAAAAGGTATTGTTGGTCTAAAATGCTACTGCCACCAAAACCTGTACATTGAAGAAAATATTTAGGTTTACCGTTCTCCTAAGAAAAGCTTAAAGTAGAAGACATGGCTTTCTGAGGGATCACAACTATATCATTCAAATACAAAAAGCTATAATTAGTAATAAATATTTCAAGTGATTTGCTAATTATTCCTCGTTGTCTGATATTTTTCTGACTGTAGCAGCCTTATTTTATCTCATTGTTTTATTTAAAGAAGCCAAAGATCTCTGCACAGACTGGAATAGATACGGTTTGCAAATACGAAAAGTTTGTGTTTTGCATTGCCGAGTACTGGTTAGTTCTTAATTCATGAAACCCCACTACAGATGGCCTCTTGCTAAATTTTAAAGCACTTCCACGTTTCAGAACCAGTCTACCTTTCAGCAAGTCACTTTTGTCAAAGCCTTGGTGTTCCTTCAAGACATTGTCAACGTGTCCTATGAGAATGTACGGACGGTGAATATCCTTGTCTGTTCTGTACCATATATTTGAATCTCTGGAATTTATTTAAATAAAGCGAATAAGAATGTATTTTTTTTCTGACTAGGAAATAAGTTACACCAGGTCTATTTCTAGACAGCCGAAGTAAGAGTGCCTTAGATGGTGATTAAGAGTTGTGTTCTTCTTCTTTAAATGACTAACATGGAGTGAGAGGTTGGATGTCTTTTGAAAACTTAAACCTGTTTCACCTGAACATGTTTAACTAGTTAATAAGAAACATCAAAAAAGACAAAACCCTGAGGTCAATGATCATTTTTTGTAAAGCCATTCGATGATGTTTAAATTTGTTTTTTGGGTCTGTCTATAACATAAGTTTAATAACCTAGCTCAAATGCAGATTTCTAATTTTCAATTAACATAGGAATAATTTTGTTTGCTAAAATAAAATAAATGAATGAATGAAAAGTCTGAACCATGAAATGTTCTAGGTAGCGCTTTTTAAAATTCCAAATTTCAAAAAATCATGTGGCAACTGTATAGCTCAAGCTTTAAGTATTAACTTTTAACCTTTGACCTTACAGATTTTAACCAATGAAATGTCTCTTTAAACTTTAAAGGAAACAATGATAACGAGCGCCTGGCGATTGCTAGACAGCGAATTCCATATCGACTTGGTCGAGTAGTTGATGAATGGCTACTCGACAAAGGTAAAAAACATTGATTAAAACTTCAAATAAAAAAATAATTTGAACATAACCAAGTAGTACTTCATTGTAACACTAATAAACATAAAAAATAAATTTCAGTAAAACTAAATTAAAAACAAATTTAAAAAAGTAAAATATAGAGTAATATTTGCATACCTTGTATAATAATTTCTATACATTTCTAGAAGTACCAGCTGTTTAATAATCTTACCCTGTTAACTTAAGGTTAAAGGGACTGTTAAATATAATCCACTAACTCAATCTATGAAGGTACTCATAGCAAACATTAACCAAAAATTATAAATCGTTCATAGATTATATTACATGTTCCAGCATCTAAATTATTAACTAAAAATATATGTAGTTATGATATCTTCATTATGGTCCTGAAAAAAAAATTTGTTTAAACTGTAGGTATCTTAAATAGTGGGCAATATGAATTGCCAATCAAAATGAAGTCCCTTTAACGTTTGCAACCTTCTTAAGGGGATTTTGGAACAAACACTAATTAAAACAGATCTTAAAGTTGTGTGCATGCTTTTTGTGAGCAGAAACCAATCTGCTAAAGTGACTATTCTATTGACTAAGAGTGGTACTGTTGCTGAGGATTTCTCTGTTTAATGGAAATGTGCCATGATTTCTCCATCGGTATGTGTATCATTTCTGAAGCCGCTTCTACATCTAAAATCTTTTATTTCAATTGATAGCCTTGCTGAAAGCCAATCAGACATCTATTTTTGAATCTGCCTCTGAGAGACTCAGTGTGAACCATGTTCTTCTTTTCAGTGTGGATGTTGAAGAAAAATAAACACTTAAATACAAAAAGGAAACATTTAATTAAAAATGTAAATATTTTATTCACATATTATAGAGATATGACAGATTACTGCATAACTTATTCTTTAAAATTCAGTGGACCTAGTGACTTGTTGGCATATATATAAACTCTCTCTGTGTGTATATACATATCTGTATATGTCTATACATGCATAAACTCTCATGTACATACTTAAAGCTATAGGCCCTATGCTGTATTACATGGAAAAAACTTTGAAACGTTGGCAGACTTGAAGAAAAAGTAATCTTAAGGAATAGAAACCTGGCATTCTTGACACACACCAAAAAGCTTAACACTGCTTTCAGGTAAAAGTGAGGGGGTATAATTTGTAGTACTAAACATATTTGCAAATATATTTGATTGGCCTTTTAGCAAAAAAAAAAAAAAAAAAATCCCAAAACGTCGTAAATGAAGAAAAAATACAAATGCTCTCAAAATTTATGCATTTCATGGACACCTCATTAAAAAGCAATGAATTATGAGTCAAATCCTTTTCTTATAGTTTATTGCTCTCATTATTCACCCCATGAAACTCTGTTATCACTTGTGTAGAGTATAGTGTTCACAGTCAACATTTTTGCATGTATATAATGTTATCTTCACAGGACGTCAGCTCACAATCTTCAATAGCCAAGCAACCATAAAAATTGGAGGCAAGGAACGTGGCCATCCTTTCCAAGGCCAGCTCTCTGGTCTTTACTACAATGGCTTGAAAGTTCTGAATATGGCAGCAGAAAATGATGCCAACATCGTGATAGAAGGGAATGTGAGACTTGTTGGTGAAGTGCCTTCCTCTATGACAACTGAGTCCACAGCCACAGCGATGCAGTCTGAGATGTCCACGTCAGTCATGGAAACAACCACCACTTTGGCCACGAGCACCGCTAGAAGAGGAAAGACCCCGACAAAAGAACCTATTGGTCAGGTTAGTCAGCTTCCTCGCCTTTTGCAAATGTTTTACAGTCTTTGAGTGTGGCTTCCTGTATCACGTTCACTCTGCAGATGAAATTGTTCCTGTTGAAGAAATGCATTAATTACAGATAAAAGTTCTGTACCATACATGGCTCATGGATGCAATGTTGATCAGCATTTAGAGCGAGAGTAAGGACTTTGCTGTTCTTCTAAATTACGCAAACTAACCAGTTCAGATTTTTCTTGTGCCCTGTCATCCATCTTCATAGTGGTGCATATTTTTAAATATTCTTTCTTCCTTTGATCACTTATATAGATTAGTTTCAGTGTCGGAATGCAGGATGTCTGGAATTAGAGATAATGAAATAAAGTGGTGACTTTATCCATGAGATAAAGAGACTCAGTTTGAAAAGGGAACAGGATAGGAGGTGTGAAGACAAAAAGTTGGCAGAGGCTGGAAAAGGAGGAATTAGCAGTTTCTCTAGTACCACGATTGATCATCTTCTTGGGCAGAGTTCCTCATATGAGGCAGTGGCAGCAGAGGGAATTAAGAGTGTTCTGCACACTGGGAGACTCGGGCTCCAACTCAGAGGCTGTTGTTTACTGTTTGTTGAGATTATTTGCATCTCATGAATTTAGCTGATATATTTAGTAGCTTTCAGGTTTTGTCAGGATCTCTGTATAATATGTAGGGGAATTTAATTATCGGGAAAAGGAGGGGGGAAAAACAAGTGAGTAAATTCAATACCTTCATCTTGTGGAGTAACAGCATTCAGAATTTGTGCGTTCAAAACCTAAAACTTACCAGGACATATCTGTGGCAGAGAAGATTCTTTTGTGTTTATTGTGCATTAAAAAAAAAAAAAGGTACACTGCTAAAAGTTTTTCCTGTGTTCACTTGGTTCACGTGCTTGCTTGTGCGCCCACTGTGCCATCAAGCCATGACAGCTCCACTCTGAGATCCAGAAGTAGGACATGGAGCAAAGAAAGTGTCATGAGCCATAGGGAGCAATAGGAGCATGATGTGATGAATGAGGTTAATTTTCTCAAGAATGGAGGAGAACATTCTGATTAGACAGGGAGGATGAGGTCAAGTCGCCTGTTTGCTGTGTAAAACCTCAACTCGGTTCGAATTTGATCGGGACCTCAAACTCAACACTTTAGCTTTTCTGTCTGTAGTATTTCGGTGTACTTTATCCTATGGATTGAAAAAAATAGTGATGTAAAAGTAAAAATTGTTATCTTGTATAAGGAAGCATAACTTTTCAGTTCGAAGTGAGCTTTTAAAAAAATATTTTGACTTGTATTTTCAAATAAGCACAGGTTTTATGCATTTTCCTTGTTTATTTAAAGCACACAAGAACCCAAAGGGGGGGAAAAAAGGGGGCAATTAAATCCAGCTAAAGATACATGGAACCAGCTGCCTCCAAAAAATGGCATCCATTGTAGATCATAGGTTGCAGTTCTTTTAATGATTTTTGTAGTAAACTACAGCATTTTTATCAAATAGGTAATACATTTTCTTTGTTATTAATTCTGGTTTAGATATTATCTCCCACTTTATTATCCAACTAGCCTGATCTCAGTATTTTGCAGCAATGAAATGTAAAACCTCATCGAATTTGCACAGAGGAAGATCTGCATCTAAAAGCGCAGGACATCCTCACAGCATGGAAGAATTTGGGCTAAATTAATGCTGCTAAAATAAAACTTAAGTTAAACTAACAGTTCCCAGCATGTTTTTGGCTTCTGCTGCTCTCTCAGGTAACTTCCAGGCACAATTTGGGAGGAACAACATCAGAGGGAGCATTCCCAGGTGGCACCTTGCATGATTTGTGGGCAATAGTTTACTGGTATAGTTGCTTTGCCACTTGGCGTCAGCTTCCAGGAATATTCCCCAGTATCATTTACTCACTTGTTTGGATGTCTAGCCACTAAGATTTTTCTTTTTGAGGTGTTCCAACAGCATATTTGGGGAAGAAAAAAGTTTCTTAAGCTAACAACTATGGTGAAGTACAGTTTTTTCTGAGGAGGGGAAAGAGATGATTAGGCAAAAAGATCTTCCACAGATCTTCTGTTTCTAGATTATGGTGCCTGAAATAAGCTGTGGCCCTTGCCGACATTATCAGAGCATCTACACAATTTACTTAAAGCACCTTGCTGCCACTGGAGCAGGGTGACCTCATTGCAACCAAGCCATTGCCTTGTCCCCTCTGGCTGACCTGGCTACACCGTTCTGCTGCTGCTGTCAGCACCTGCTCTTTGATGTCCCACCATCACAAGCTTCAGGCAGGCTCCAGGAGCATCCAGAGGTGCACAGCATCTTGCCAAAGCACGTTCTGAGAAGGTTTAGATCAATCTCTATTAGCCCGGCTGATGCAAGTCCTTGATGGAGCCCATTTGAAACAAATTGGCAGGAATATTTCTGTATTTAAGAGCCTGAAGTCAACATTTCTGAGGAAGGCATTCAGTGTTAAGGCCCTTACAACACATGGCATCCTGAGTCTATAACTGAGCCCTTCTTGACATTAATAATACACAGTGGTTTACTTCAGCTATGTCTAAACATCCTGCCTGGTAGGATCTCTGTTGTCATTACGACTATACACTTCATTAGTCAGGGACTGCACTGGAATGCAGTTTGCAATCAGGCCTGTGATTTGATTTGAAGAGATTGATAACATCCCAAAGTCAAAGCTGAAATTTGTCTGCAGGATGCTATGTTATTCATGCAACAAACTCAGACCTAGGAAGCTACTAAATCAAATTAAGGACATAATTTCTTCTCTTCATTAATACCTATTTTCTTATTCTACCTGCATGTAATAATTTCTGTTCTAGTGACCCATAGGACTCCCACGGGTCTATCCTGCAGGGTGCTGAGTAATCACTTTCCATCTTTAAGTTACTGGGAGATGAAGGTGCTCACCATCTCATGGAAAATCTACTTTTAATTTCTACATTCCCTTTCATTCCCTTTGTCCTTTATATTTTTTTCCTGATTTTTATTTATATATAACCTCTGGAAGAGTGTTAACTACATTGACATACTGTAATGCACAAGAAGAAAAGTTACCTTTCTAGCATTAATTAGGTTACTGAAGAAAATATGCAGCTGAACAGCAATTGCTAATGAAAAAACCTTACATTACTGCAAACCAGTGCATGTCTGAAATAGAATAGAAGCAAATGATCTAATCAGTCAGAGATTGTTTGCTCCATTTGCAGAGGTATTGAATTCAATTAAAGATTACAATACTTAAAGAAGATCATTTAAATCTCTATTTATAGGAAATGTTCTTTAAAAAAAAGTCTACAATGTTAGTGCTTAAATTGATGGAGTGTGTGCTTCTCAGCAGCATATTACTAATGTAATATATGATAGACGTGACACTTTCAGAAAGTATGTTGAATACTGTTGTGCATGATTTTAGACAAATGAGGTCTTAGCACTACTGAAAAAAATGCTTTTTGTTAGTGACTCTGCTTTAAATGAAGGTTTTCCCTACTTGGAGGCTGTGTCATATTTTAACAATGGATGTTTTGGTAATGACAGACATCTTAATTATTATACTTGTAAATGTAAATTTTTCAAAGGGGAGAAAGGTACTCAAAGCCTATTGAATGTCAATGGTAGGTGAATGCCTCATTTGCCTTAGCGCCTTAAAAATCCCACCCCACCCCTCTCTTTGATTCTAATGGCACCTAGAGCTGCCAGCCTTCATGCAAGGCACTGCATAAACACATAGGAAGTGACAGCCACTGCCTCAAGTAGCTTACAGAATAAACAAAAGGTATCAGGTAAGGAGGGGAAGAAAAAAAAAAAAAGGAAATTAGGAGGGGGGGAGGAAGAGGGAAATAAAGCAAGCCTTGCGCTGTTTTAATGTTAACAAGCAACATGCAGGTTTGCTGCCCTTTTGGGGGGGGATAGTTTACTGCCTTGTTTTTGATCCAGGTTCTTCAGATAGCAGCCCCAGAGGTACAGCTGTCCTGTAGGATCATTGCATAGCTTACGGTAGACTCTGGAGCAGGCATTTTAAGGACTGGGCTGCCCAGTTTGTCCCAGTTGGGCAGCTGTTGCAAAATTGGCACCGGTTGTGTGGTCGATGAGAGGTTTTCTCTACTTTGCTCCTCACTTTGCCATCGACACTTGGATGAATCCATGGTCGCTGGCGTGGGAGGTGAGGATTGTGGGAGAGGTTCTTCATTCCCCCCACAGTGGACGGGAGGAGGCTCAAAATTTTGCATACCTTTATGAGTATCCCCAACTATAAATATTTCAAGAACAGTACTTCTGTTAAGCAAAAATATGCAGCTATGTGTTTCTAACTTTTGGTGAACCGTAAGTATGCTCTGGGGCTCAGAAATCATTAATTTGGTCTAAGAATATTGTCCTCTTTATGAAGTTATTCAGCAAAATGATGCAGTTAAGTTCTTTATCCTGTTTCTCTTTTATTTTTGACACTTTTTAAAAGTCACATTTGCAAGTTTTTCTATTCAATCATGAAGGCGATAAACTACTTTTAAAATTGAAAATAAAGGAGATTCACATGTTGTATAACTCCAGGAGCCGGAATGTTAAGCAAAACGTCAAGTACTGCAAGGCTTGCAATAAAAATTGCAGGAGTTGGCAGAAGTGGAAAGGCTTCAAAAGGACTTTGAGTATGGGTTTTGCTTGAATTAGGATAGCACAATCAGGCCTTTAGTATCTCTTTGGCATGGCTTTGTGGATCTATATTAACTGGAAATCATAAATGAAGTGATAGTAAATCAACAATAAAATGCTCATTTCTCATCTGTTTCTAAGGATTTGATTATGACAGCCCATCCACAGAGTAGCCCGTGCTCTCATGCGTTGGAAACCATTTCTGAAAGTTGTGTGCAAAATAGCTTTTTTTTTTTTTTATTTTTCATAAGGGATTCTGGCAGTCCTCTGTTCTCATCAGAGTGGACTCTTATCAATAACACTAAGCCACTTAACCAGCAATTGCAATATACTGTGAGATGATTGCA